ATATAGTTATTAACTAATAATAGTTTGATTGAGAAAGCTATAAATACACTTCATTTAGAAGCTTTATTAACCAAGACTATATTGTGAAGTATTATTACAATTTAAATTTAAATGAACTGTATTATATTTATTCTGTTCTATTCTACATTCTGATTCTGTGCTCAAGAAACATTTCTTATTATTATAAATTTTGAAAACAACTGTGCAGCTTAATATTTTTGTGGAAACAGCAATATTTTTTTCAGGATTTTTTGTTGAATACAACATTCAAAAAACAGCATTTATTTGATATATAAATCTTTTGTACATTATAAATGTCTTCACTGTCACTTCTGATCAATTCAATCCAGATGGAATAAAAATATTAATTTCTTTAAAAAAAAATGTTTATGTTAGAACACACACACACACCAGAGCTAAATATCTTTGCTACTATTAGCTAATTTAGTTGATGGACAGAAGATGCTAAGTAGAACATTGATCAATCACCAGTCAACTGATAAATCAACACTGTTCATTCCAGAAGAACCACAATCCCACTGGAAAAATCCATCAAACAATGAAAGAACCCAACTGAAGCCAGAAAAACAAAACCTGATGCTATCTACTTTGAATGTGATATCTACAGCCAAAGCCTGGCCTAACCAGCTATGCCAAACTACTACAAGGACACCTGCTCTTTCAGAGACACTGCGTTAGAATTCATGAATACAAGTAAACCACACAGCACAATCCACAGCAGAGAAGCAATAACACACTTTTAAGGTAAACAAGGGGGTGAAGCGGAGCTTAAGTGTGAGAATCTACAACCTAAAAACATGCAGAACAGAGCACATGCACACACAAAAACACACAGGGACTGATCCCCGGAGAGTCTGAACGTTACCCTCTTCAGAACTCATGCTGGAGTCCTTGTACGTCCTGTCCCCTCAATATCCGCACAGCCATGGAGCCAGAGAAATAGAGACATGCGAAGGGGGAGGTAAACAAAAGGGGAAGACAGTAAGATAGAGTGTTTCGATTGGATGCCCTCCCTCCCACCCGTTCATCCCCTAAGATCACAACGTGACATTCTGTCACTTTCTATTTCATCTTTTTTCTTTTATGCGAACTCTTCTTCCTTTATTCTCATTCGTCTCATTCCCTGGAGAGAACAGCTTTGTTATTTTCTCCCATACCAACTGTCCCTCTGTTGTGGTGAGATGGCTTTTCACCCAGTGTACAATGAAAACAAATTACTCACTGCAACATGCACACATGTGCCACACACACACACACACACACACACACACACACACACACACACACACAGTGTTTGCTGTTTACAGGATCCAGGCTAACTGTGTCCTAAGACCAACTAGCCTCTACAAAGCAATAACTGCCTAAATAACCTTTGACTCTATTGGTTGTATCACCAGGGGCTGGCCAGTGACCTTCACCCTAACTGGATGATCCAAAACTGGCACCTCTCTTTGACACAAGGTCTAGACAGAGACAAACAATGAGCTCTAAAAATGTATTTTTGTCATTTCTACACCAAAAGTGGTGCATTACACAGATGATACTTCAATTAGGTCATATGGCAATTGTATTAGGTCATATGGTGAGACAGTAATATCCATGTCACACTGTATAATAAATCAATTGCTAAAATGTATTTCTGTTGAAATAAACAAAACTACACAGTTAACACGTTGAGTATAAGTAACATTAGTATGAATTCACCTTCAGTAACTAGCAATGCACCAATAATTCTGGCTGATACAGAAAACTATTTCAAGCTATGGATGATATTAAAAATAAATTAAATAAAAAAAATTAAAACACTAAACATCAATTAAGGCTAAAAACAAAGTATATATTAATGCATACGAATGCATTTTAAAATTAAGAATAAAATAATTTATACAAAATATTAATTTAACAGTGTAAATAAGTTATGTTAATTAATTTACTTTCATATGGTGAGACAGTAATATGCACGTCACACTGTATAATAAATTACTATAATTACTATACTTTCAATCTATTACTAAATGTTATTCTGACAAAATAATAAAAAGAAATACTGTACAGTAAATAACACTGACATTGGTTTAATAAGATCACCTTCAATAACTAGGGATGTGCAATGCAGATAATTATTTTTATTTTATAGATGATTAAAAATAATATAAATTAAAAAATTAACACACTAAAAACATCTATTAACACTAAAATCGTAAATGCTATAAGTGAATTTCCTTATTTTAAATGAGGGAAAACTATCTATACAAAAAAATTCATATAACAGTGATAACAAATTATGTTAATTGTTATTGATTTGAAAGATTAACTTGCTAAGTGAGTGTTAGATAATAGCAAAAAAAATCTATATGTAAAAATAGGGGAAATAAATGATTAAAAATCCAATATCGACTAAACTAAAACATCTCTAAAAATATTTTTATTGACCAAAAAAAAAAATCTCTAAAAACATACTGATACGCCATGTATCCCTATGAATGTTTCCTAGCAAACCTAAAATTGAGGGGGGAAAAAAACATTATTATTATTCTTTAGAATGCATTAACTGCCTACTGACATCTATATTTATCACAAACTTGATTTGCACCTCTCAAATACCAAGTGAGTTTGCTTGCACTAATCTTATGGCTAACCATTCTTAAAGGGAAATTACTTCATACATTTTCAAATGTCAAACTATCTGTTGGAATAGAAACAGGTGGAAGATCAACAGAAAATAGCAAGGGATGCTGTTTGTGTGTTTAAATTGTCTCACCTGCCTAGAAATGAGAACTGCACTTAAATGCTCAACTTTCAAAAGGGAAGCATAATTTTGAAAAAGAAATTAGAAATAATTAGAAACATTACTTATTACTGTTAAATTATATATATATATACTGTATATATTACATATACAACAAGCTTGTGTCACATTGCTCATGTAAAATGTTTGCATTGCTTAGGTTACAACAGTTCATTGCTAGAGATTAGCTGCTGGCAAATTAGAATTTCTCTGATTTTTTTTTGGTACAAACCCAGCTTATTTTTAGCACAAACTACAAAAGGCTTGCATATAGATGGATTTCCCAATATCCTCATGGGTCAAAGACCACACATTTCTACTAAGAATCTTGGGAACTGACCAGACCTGAACTTTCTCTCTCTGTTCTACATACGTACATCCAGGACCACATCCTTTATTCATTCGGCTGGCAATAAGGAACAATGGAAGGCCGTGAGCAGACCTTTGTCCCAGATTATTTTGTAAATGTGGTAAAATCATCTCAACAGGAAAAGAAAAACAATGCACTGACCCCCTGACATCAGTGAAGAGTTTCCTCTCGCTCTCATCCAAACCTGACAGCAGCACATAAACAACGTACCTACACATAAAATGTGATATGGTCAATATAAGAATGTGCAGGACTACAGATCTTTCCTTTCTGTTCTTCTGCACATCTGAGACCTTAAAACGGCTGAGTGAGGCATTTAGATGGCAAATCCTCTCACAGATCCTCTGGACAAGGCAGGGGTCTATGATGAAAACCTGAAACCCAAACACCCAGTGACGTACTGGCCGTTGCAACACAGAGAACATGGGAACCATCTCAATAACACTGTGGTGAAATAAAAGGTTATTTAAAAGGCCAAAGCGGTTTGATAACACTCAAAACAGTTGGTTCTGAGGTCCAGAACATATTGGCATAAAGACATTTTACTTACCCTTGTGCCGTTTTACAAAACCTTTCTTTTGTGGAAGATAAATGAAAATAATTTGGTAAACATCTTCTTTTTTTTTCTGTCCATATGGAAATCAACGGTCACTCTTCAAAACATCCTTCCACATAACAAAAGAAAATCACACAGGTTTGGATAAACACAAGGGTGAGTAAATTATAACAGAATTATCTTTTTTTGTTGTTGAGTGCACTATACCTTTAAGAGCATCTACACTTACTACACACATCTTTACTGTGATTACAAGCTTAAAAGCACACAGACAGGCGTCAGTCTCTAGATCATTCATGAGTCAGGCATCCGAAAGCATATCCTGACGTACTACAGCAAAGCTTAGACAATTATACTCACAGGTCATTCAAACGTATGTATATTCTCTCCTGTCTAAAATGTGCTGTCACCACACTTTGAATAAAATGTCATCCTTAACTAGAAATCTCATCAGTGAATAACTGCAACACTACACTACACTACACTACACTACAGTGTTACTGTTACCACAGCCGATGTATTGCATAACACAACATAGTTCAAACGTAATTAAAACCTGTTGGCAATCTTATGAGACATTTTAAAACCTATGTTTACATATGAGTAAAGAAATAACAGTGTTAATACGATGTGCTACATTATACCAGCATTAATGTAGGCTACAGTAAGCGCTCGGGCTTTAATCTTCTGTTTGACACTTCTGAAACTATCTAGCTGGGAACGCGGATGTCATTTTATAAGCGACAACTCACCCCTCCAAAAAGCGTTTATGTTTATTAAATGAGAATATACCTATTGGACCTTCTTTGTGTTTTGACGAGCGTCTTCTATTTACTGCTTTTTCAAGAACAGCGCTCCCAGCTTTCTTCGCAGACGCCATCTTCCTCAAACACGAATTATTACCTCCCCCCTCTGTTCTGTCTGGACGTACCTTGACGGAGACCACGCCCACATTAAAATCAATAGCCAATAACGCGTCAGAGAACAATCAAAGCACCTATCACATAGTTCTCATTTCATAGTACTGCCCATCGTGTTGCCCATATTAAGCCAAATGACCCTCCTACAACGTCAAACTACAATAGCCTACAATAAAATAAATATGCCAGTTTCTCTAGTGTCATTTAATGGCCAATTTGAGTATCCAGTGCATTTATTTATTTATAATAATAATCTACCTCAGGACACACTAAAAATATGACTCACATCAAAATATCCACACAAAGCTAAATGTTTCATACAGTTTATTCAAATCATTAGCAGAAATGTTCGATTTACTACTGCAAAACACAAACAAGCTTATCTTCTAAACTATTACTATGCAGGTTGCTCTCTCAGTTAGTCTACTCTCACTTTGTATTGTCATCTCATTGTCAATTTGAGTATCCAGTGGAGTCTGTCTGTCTGTTTATTTATTCCCCAGGACACACTTAAAATGTGACATTCATCAAAATATCCACACAAAGCTAAATGTTTAATACAATTCATCCAAATCATTATCGGATGTGTTTGATTTACCACTGCAAAACACAATCAAGCTTATCTTCTAAACTATTAGAGAGATTCAAGATACTGACAGCAGGCTCGAAATGCTAAAATCACCACTTAAACAATTTATCTCAAATAATACACAGGGTTCACTTTTCCATTGTTTGTCTATCTTGTTAACATGGACCCTTTCCCTGTTTCTCCAGCTCCAGCTATGGCTTCTCAAGCTGAATGTCTTCTCCACAGATGGCCACATCCTGATAGGGGCCTTGCTGACTGGAGCGTTGAATTTGATGGTAAGCTGAGTTGCAGTCATCCAGGTTTAGACCCTGTTGAAGGATTTGTGAAGGTCACTTTTGTGAATACGCAACATGTTAATAAGAAAAAGAAAATGTAGTGGGAATAGACATACCTCATAGATATTCTCTTCCTCCTGTCCTTTCTTCCTCTCCAGTTCATTCAACCTCTTTGACTGGAGGAATAAAGTTGAACATCATCATCATCATGGAATCACTTTATTTATTTGTTTGTTTAATGTTGTGTGTGGTGCAGTTTTCTTTTTTATATGCTGTATGGAATACATCCAATATGTTGAATCAACATTAAATCAGCATTACACAATCAGTGTGTCTGACCTTACAGAGGATCATGGTGCCAGGGATCAATACACACATCAGCAGCAACACTCCTTCTGCTGTAATAATGCTGTTCTTCACACTCTCGCTGAGGTTTAAGGTTTTCTGCAAAGGTTCTAATTAAAGAGAATGTCTTAACTCCTGAAGACTTTTCAGAAAAGACAAGTATAGATCAAACTGACCATGGACCATTGTCTTAAATAAAATCAGAGAAAAATGAAACAGACAAAAATAGATGTCAAAAGAGCTGACACTTTCACTTCCTCTGACAATAAAATGTGCATGTGTGTATATAAAGAGAGTTAAGTAACACAAACTTAGCATGAATGACTGGAATTTGGTTTTATGTCATTGAATGGGTTATTTGTGTTTGCCTAACTCAGCCAATTGAAAGATTTATGGGGATTATTGCACAATGCAGCCTCTTAAGAGAGCTTGAGTGCTTGCATTGTTATGTTTGTGACTTTCATATTTATGTAGTGAGGAATTAATAGTTAGACAGTGGGCCTACATCAGATTATGTATAACATTAAAATGCATAATTATAAGTTCTATAAACAGTATTTATTATAGACTGCTTTTCAAAAGCTTGAGGTCAGTAAGATTTTTTTTATTACAAAAGAAATTCTGTAAAATATATGCGGTTCTTTTGAACTTAAAAAAAATAAATAAATAAAAATTGAACAGTATTGTATAGTTGTCTGAAAATGTTTCTGTGATACTGACAAGAAATAAAATGAAGTATACTTAAACATAGCTGTGGTCTGACTTACTGTATACTTGAAGGAAGGTACCATGGGTAAAGATGTGAAGAGTGTCATGACTCAGTTTACACTGGTACAAGCCAGTATCATTGAGACGGACACTCTTTAAAACCAGCAAATGGCATTTGACTCTATCTTTTTGTTCCATTACGTCTTGGAACTGATTTACTATACTGGGCATTGTGGTACCATTGGTGTTTTGAATATTTATGATCCAGGTGACATGGGGTTTCTCGCTCCAGTTGTAGCAGCAACGGATGGTGGCTTCATGGGAGAGAGCCACACGCTCAAGCGGCTTATCTGCCTCCAGTTTCAGCTCTTTTAAATCAGCGTTGGCAACAGCTTATGCAAAGGACAATAAACCAAAAAGCCATATAATAATATGTTATAATTTTGGATGGCAGAACAGCAGAACAAAGTATTCGTGTGCAAAACAATCCATGACCATAGTCTGGGGTTTCTTTAAGATTTGCTTATATGTGATTAAAACCTCTTATATCAAAGCAGCTTAATATATGGCTTTAATTTCCCCCCAACAGGCAATAATTCAGTCCACATGATATCAGCATGTTTAAATCTATTAGCTAAACCATACCGTTCCCACACACAAAATGCTGTATAGACAAGACTTGTCATGTGAAAAGCTACTCAATACAGTGTAAAATTAAATTAGACCCTTAAAATTAAAAGTCACACTGAAAAAGACAAAGGGGTAAAAACTGGTGAAAAATCTAGACACTGGTAGCAATAAGATGCAAATTGAAACAGCTGCTCTGAGAGGAAATCAGCTTCACTGAAGCAGAACAGACGTGCAGATGGAAACTTTGTGTACTTTGTTCTTTTGTAGGCGATAAAAAGTTTATTACTGAATTTGAAATGGTATGCTTTCCAAAAACTACATTTAAATTTCTCTCTCTCGATTTTTTTGTGCTCAAAGAGAGCTCAGATTATTTTAAAACCAGTTAATAATAATGAAAGTTTAACAAATATGAACAGTTTACATTAAAACCAACATCACATACACACATTAAATATATGCAATTCCTTACCTGCCCAGAAGCACAAGAAAACGACCAGTTTGAACGGCATTTTCTCTAATAAACCCAATAAACTCTCCTGATAAAAAACTTCTTGCTGCTCATCAGTAAATGTGCCTTTCAAGTGCGTGTCTTCCTGTATCATCTAAACCCACCCATTCTTCTATTTCAGTTTGTGGTGAACACACGCAAATACAGGGGCTGGACAAAATAATGTGAACTCCTGGAAAACATGCAATATTTCATTATTAATATGTTTAACCAGCATTCACCTTTAAAACAGCTTCTAACGTCTTAGAAAAGATTCATGCAACTTTTGAATAGTCTCTAGTAATCTGCCAGTTGCTTTAGAGATGTTGGAGAAGGGAATCTGCTTCTCACCCTTCTCTCCAAAACTGCCTGTGGTTTAATAATATTCATGTCAGGTGATTTGTTTGGCCAGGGCAGAAGTGCATCTTGGTGCATTCCAGCCGTCCAGGATCATATAGACATAATAACTGGATAAAGATAATTGGATTTTTGTTTTTCACTGTAACATATACAAATGATATTAACCCCATTAAAACATTATTTGTCCAACCTCTGTACATTCTTCTCTATTTTGGATTATGGGGTAAACCGTTAATATCAACTGAATGCTGCTGAAAATAAGGACAATAAAAGCTCAAATCATTTTTGATCGTTTATTTTAAAAAAAGAAAAAAAAAGTACCTACATTTTTATGTATCTTACATATAAAATCAAAGCCCAAATACACAGAATAGTCCTTGCATAATCATTTATATAGACAGACAGCAATGCAATGCCTGTAATGAGTGGACTCCTGTACACAGAATTACATAAAAGACAGTCATGCATTGCAGAGGCTTTAAAAGATCTAACAAAGAGCACTCAGTACTAAGCACTCAGCCATTTTTAAGAAAAAATGAGTGGAACTGCTATAATTTGGCGGGTCTGGAGCAAAATATCAGATTCATATTTAACACTGAACATCGCTAATGAGGAGAGGGCAAGGACACCCGTGCCTGTCAGCTGGACTTAAAGAGCCCTTTAGAAATAAAAACAAACCCAATCTGCACAAGGCACCCTATAAATAGATTTAAACATACAGATAGATCACTATGTATGCGTATATGTGACAGATACACATGAAAATTTTAAGGAATGAGAGAGAATGACACCACACCCAAAACCCCGTCTTATCAATTATCAAGGGTTCAAGGCTCAACTTGAAACTCTATAATCGAATTTAAATTGTGGTCCGTTCCACATCAAAAATAAGACTCTTGCCATAAAAGTGAAGTTCAGTGAAGCCTTTTTTTTATATAGTTAAGGGTGCACTTTGACTCTCTCAGTCCTTTTATAATAGGCAATGCATAGTACGATATTACATAATTTTCCAAGAAAATCAAAACAACAGAATCAAAGGAAATGAATAAACCACCCATTCAAGCAATCGCGAATAAAAAAAATTGTGCAAAGGGACTGTAGGAAAGTGAAGTAGGTAGAACAGATCTTGCACCATGATAGTTTCATTACCAATCTTTAAACATTTTCGTTTGCTACTTCTTAAAGGAAAAAAATATGAAGGGGTCAACACTGCTGACCAGAATGCAAGACCTCTGGCAAATTGTTCTGATAAACCATTTTGTAAAGGTAATCAGCTGGGAAAAGAGCGGGAAAAGGCCTTACTGGAATCACAAATATCAACACAATGACAATGAATATAAATCACAATATGTAACAAATAAGGTAAAATAAGATGCATAATTTGGAAGTCGGTCGAGGGTAAAAAGACCTGTTGCAGTAGCATCATGAATACATGAAAATAATTACAGCACTGGTGAGAAAACCTACAGTTTGTGTTCCTGTCTCCAAACTCTGAGATATAACATCATCATCAACCCCTGCATGTACCGGATTCTCTGTGGTCTGGTTTCCAAGTAAAAAGCTGGTCCCTTAAGCTGGAAATCATGGACTGACAATGAGAATCAGCATACTTCTCTATTACCGATACAGCAATTCAGTTCTGAACCAACTTAATTCCTTCTGTCTTAAATAGGATAAGCCAACACATTTACAAGCCAATGCATCTACTTCACCATTTTGTGGGTTGACCCAGCAGCTAAGGCAAACACTCAAGAGTTTGGAAAGGGGTGGGCGATGAGATCAGACCCCCTTACAGCTCAGTAAGTCATTCCAATTTACAGCTGACCTCCCCATGCAAGGCAAAAGTGTTTACATATCTAAACTTTGTTCCACTATCATTTCTTTGGTCCTGCTTTTAAAGAAAACGACTCCCTAAAATAAAATAAACTGAGAGACATCATTACAAGCAATTAAAAACTAAAACTAAAAAAAACTATATTTTTGCAAACTGTAGAGTAATTGTACTGGAGAACAAAGACAGAAAAAAATGAATTATCAGAAATGACTAATACATTTACAGCCACAGACACAGAATTTGCATAGTGCACACAAATAGGCAATGTGTGATGTTTATCCTAAGATCTGAGTTGACCTACCACAATACAATCTGCAACACCTGCATTAGAGAACGCTATACATTGTGCATGCTTCCCATTATAACGGCAGCGATGTGTGGATGTACCTGCAAGCTGGTCATTCAAAATGCTACATAATATGTGCATATTTCCTCACAACCACAATGTCATACCCTGACGAGATCTCTCGCCATCAATGTCTGCCTTGTTTTCACTTCAGAGGGGTTAGGCATAACAAAGCAAGCCCACCTTCCTCAAACCTTCTCTCTACTTCCTTTACTCATCCATCTGCTGATCTATCCTACTTAGCACTTCTTTTCTCATTCACAGAGCAACAACAGAACTTCTGGTAAGAAGACAAAACAAAAGAAAAACAGGGTTAAAAAAAAAGCTCCATACTCTTACTCTCCATTTTGCAACAATTTGGCCAATGCATGCAACAACGGTTCTACATATATCCTTTTGAATATCTATTATTTTTGAAAATGCATGTAACATAGCACGGCAATAATTATTAGGATGAGTGAACATCTTGAAATGTGTATAATAAAAAGACAAAAAATAAAAGGGCACATTATCTGTTTAAATTACCTTATTGAAAACCTACTAAACTACAGTTTGAGAAGCAGGCTTCATATGCATCAGAC